TGATGATCATGGACAGCGAAGATTATAATGACTTAACAAACAAGAGGACGAATCGAAAACACTGTGCGATACATCGATTTCTAAGATTCATCTGCAGCTAACAACAAACAAGGAAATCATCCCTTAAAGGCATAGAGGACATAATAATTGCTTCGTTTACCTTCTGAGTAGATTATTTCACTAATAATAAAAAAAAAAATAGCCTACACTGAAACCTACTCCTATACCCGTATATTGAATGATAAAGAGTAATGAAAGTAGCGAAGCTTTTAAGTATAGCCTAATCGAAAGCCTGAAAAACTCAGAGACCATTTCAGTCACGAACAAATATGCAGGACAGGTCGTATGTCCCTAGAGCCAAGTTAATTTCCCTTCAAGTATCCCTAAACGGATAATGCATTCCTTTCCCGTTCTTCTATAGCTCACAACCTTCTTGAAATCATAATAGTTTTTTTATTCTTTTGCTCGATAGCTAAAAATCACAGTATCATCGACAAGAACACCATTTTATTTTAGGATCAGGCGCATGTTTGGTTGCCCTCTTATATCCATGACGCTTCTCTGCGTAGAGCAAAGCATAAGCTCGGTACAACAGTTATAATTCTAGTTCAAAGGTGACAAATAATATCGAAAATACTTTTTTATTAGGTTGTGGGATTATACACTGGACGATGGTTCCGTTGGCCAGTAATATCTTCTCTACGCTCCCGTCAATAATTTCATCATGTATCATCGTCAGCGTAATATCGATCGGATCATTCTCCGCCGTCAAATAACTTCAATATATCATCGAATAGTACGTTGATGATTTTACAAAAACCAGAATACGTTCGTACACACACACATACACACACACACGGAGAACACAGTAACTGTGGCGTATCAACTATATCATACATGATATGACTGAAAATTCGTAACACATGCATTGCAAGCTCAGAATACTCGGGTACAACAACTGGCACCGTAGGAATCTATTGATGCTGCGCCAAGGCCGATATGCAATAGTGGTGGCCAAAAAAACTGAACGTTACAGGGCAACGTACTTCCATACGTAACGGGCAAGCAACGTTAACGAGGTGATCCGTTTGGTTTCGGCCGTCTCCTAAAATCTTTATTTATTGAAATCGTCATTTATCTTGTATCTCGATCATAACAAGACTGATGTCCCTTTGTATTTTTCCTTCCATCTTCGTCGAGAAAACAACACAACTGGCCGAGAAAACAAAGCAATGTCGAAATTGTTGGAATTAGCCACAGTAAATTTAGTTCAACGGCAGGCGCTGCAAGAAGTTTGCAGTTTCCTCTCGCAGGCCTCACCTTTTGCTGCCTATTCCAGTCCCTTCTTTCCTCCCCACGCTACCTCCTTTACACCTAAGTTACTGATGATTTAGCAGAATGGTGATCGTCGCCGGGTTGCTTGCCGTCACCCTGTTGGACCAAACACACTCCGTTCGTTATAAGTTGTCACTTTCTTTTTGGAGTCAAATTTCTCGTTGCCTATGACTAGGTCCGGAGGAAACTGAGGCATACGCCTGCTTCATAGAGAATGGTGACTGGCCAGGACCACGCGCGTACCCATGGGTTGGCAATTGTAAGCAGCTAAAAGATGATCACGTTAATCGAGATACTGGAATGGAACCGACTAGCTGGCTGGCTAAGGAATCTTCGCAAAGACTCCGTTGTAAAACCGTTGATGCAGCTGTTGATGCTACAGACGCGAGAGGGTTAAGTACGGTTGTCATCGACGGTGTTGGCCGGTGTCTATGGACATAAAACAACGGCGGATAAGAAATAACAGCGATGCTTCCAAACGAAAACAAGATAAGCAGGTTGCAAAGCTGAGAACGTAGTGGACATTAACCAGATTAAACTGAGCCATTCGATCATGAGCACGGTCAGAATAGCTGGCTCCATCCAGCGATCAATTGTGTCGCCAAGCGATGGCCTCTTCCAGATTCTAGACAAAATGGAAGACTCTACTTTCGTCGTACTACTTCTACTGGTTGACTAAACTGTGTGGGCTATTTCGAAGCAGAAAGAATTATGTACAAGGGCTGTTCAGAAGAGTGACTTTGTCATTCAATCACCTACATTGATCTTTAGCATTGCTTACTATCTCGATTTTCAATGCAGCTACTATGCCACATGTTTAAGTGCGACTCTGCGAGATTAAAAGTTCCAGACAGTCTCTGAAAACAGTCATCTTGACAAGTTATGAAAAACTCTCTGAAAATTGACGGCATGAGAAATTGGGTCTCTTATATCGCACTTTTTCAAACTGTCAAACGAAGCATTTTTTGACACTGTCCTGTTGTTTCACTCTGTGTATATCTGCATGAAGTACCGGCCGGTCTTCTATCATATCCTAGCGTACGACAATGCATTGACAGCACACAAAATGATATGATAATAAGTAGATAATCAAATCACATGGTTATTCTTTGCAGTATCTTCGTTTCTCTGGTGGATCCGCGTAATCACCCTTTAGCAATATTCGCAGAGATAGTGCGAGACAAAGCGAGAGAACTAGACCAGCGGAGGGATGCCAACGATTTCAACGAAGGCTGCTCTTTTTCTCTTATAGAACCGATCATTTTATTGTTGTTTAGATAATTTGGGGCTGATCCATCAGTACACAATTTAATGGCGTGATCGGCGCCGATTTTCTTGCAGTTCTGCAAGCGGTAAGCAGTAGGACAGATGAATATACGTCAAAGGGATAAAACACGATGCACTATATTGGAATCGATAAGATTTGAACGTAGTCAAAGGAGTGCACTGCAGAAGGCCAGGCACTGACTCGATCACTCTTCATAGTTCGTCATGTGACGAAATCTTATTACTATTATGACCTAACGCCCCTATACTAGATTTGGCAGCGATAGTTTAAAAGTACAATACACTTAAGTGTCGGATAGCAACACATCAGTCTGGTCCTAAGTCCACATAACTTCACCGCTAAGCAGAACGATGTGATGCAAGATACAGAATTGTCAATTTCCACGTTGCGAATAGTGGATATAAAATTGCAAGCTGCGTCACTGATTTATCTGGCGATCAACAAACAGCCTCGTAAAGATCTTATCTTTTGTATGAGACACTCATTGGAAGAGGCAATAGAAATGCGTGCAGATCAACAATATTATCATTGTATCTACTTGTATTAGCCATAGACGTTTTGCAACTAAAATCACTTCAAACATTTCCCATTAATAGCTCTACAGAATTGTCCCCTTGCAAATTAAAACCTATCTTCTAATGCAATTGTGCCGTGTTTCTCATCTTGCTTCCTGAATCTGAAGACGTTTTTGCTTCTAAGCAAAAACTATATTCGTCGGAAGTTTTGTAGAAACCTAATACATTGTTTACGTCTCGGTAGTACATGTTCGAACCATCCTGTGGTTTCAGTAATGTAACAGCAGTATCCTCAATCCTGATCAGGCTGCCGGCTCTATGTACTTTACTCTGTTACAGGTTGGATGATATGTCTCACAGAATGTATCTTGAATTTAAAAAAATTATAGCTTAAATTATGTCAATTAATTATACGCTTATAGCTTTAATTAGTTCCTGTGTTCAAGGCTTAGTGAGCTATTTGATGGAAGTGTCATGAAATCGATCGAGGCTGATGTTCCAAGTTGTAGTCTAGTATCATTTCTTTATGTTCCTTTAAAACCTGGCGCTCGTGCAAGAATCAGCTACTGGTAGTTTAAGCTGACAGTACCAATAACTCATATTGGTACTATCACTACACCTTAAACTAATGCAACATAAGCTCCGTGGCGGACCTGGATCGGGTCAGGCGTTTCCTAACGATAACAACAAATATGCCTAAACCCTTCCAAAGTCGAAGAAGACGAAGGCTTTTATAAATACTAAATGTTATACAACATCGGCCGCAGTTCCCTCGTTGCATCAGGGTATGCTACTTAATAAGATCATTATAGCAATTTAAGCACTTTCGAGCGGCATAATGCATCAAGAGAGGCGTGTGGCTTTCCACGCTCGCACAGCGCTAACATCTGTTACCACCAATCTGAACCGGTCTGTGTACGTGGAATTACGTCCATCTTGACTCCCGTTTGAGTCAAGGGAGGTGACTTGTAGTTGCTTCCTTTGTGTCTGTCGGTTTGCCGACTTGTCAACGCGTCTACCACCGAAACCGAACTTCACCGAATTACGGCGCACTAGGTACGTGCAATGGTGCTTAACAAATAACGGGTGCAGGGTATCGTGTATATAAAGGCACCCGAACACCGTACCTGTAGTAAAACGGTGGGGACGACGACGACAACAGGAGAGGAGGAAAAAGGAGCTGAAGTTTCAGATCGCGCCATCAAATCGATACACTAAATAGATACTTAGATAACACTACCATATATATTACTACACTTAGTGACAATATTTAACAGCTACGACCCATAACTTAAAGTGTCGCCAGAAGCTACAGAGTTGGTAGCTGTCGCCTGACGTGGTTTATGGCTGATTCCGCTCAAGACAAGAAACGCAAAACAAACTTTGTTCGCGCTCTCCCCTTGCGCGTGACCAACGGCCAAGTTGCATTTGATGAGTGACTTCCCTCCGAGACTGACTTCGAAAAACGACAGTGCCTGAGAATGTGATTGAAGCAAAAAAGCAATAATTGGTATTTGCAATCTTCCCTGGTCTTCATACATACAAACCTGCATGAAGAATAAAGATGGGCGACCGCAGCGGTAGAGTTACACAGTTCTTTTATTTCTAAATGACACTTCACATTGAGTATGCCACTGTTCGGCTAATAGGAGAAAAATTGGGCTGTTGAGATCTCTTGTTGCTTGTTATTAGATGGAAAAAAGAGAATGGCTTTGAATAAGTGGATAAAGTTCACACATGTTTCTGGGATTGATATTTTTTAAACGTTGTTTGTCGAAACCCAGTTAATAAGCTCAATTAGGTTTAGTTTCTTCTTTTTTTCTGCTACACATGCATAGAGCTATGCCGATTGGGACACTTACCGAGCTTCACAATGGTGGTGGGAGTCGTGGACTGTGACTCCTTAAATTTCTCGTAATCTCCGTTAACCATCGCGATTTCGTAGGCCTTCTGCAGACCCATCTACAGTGTGTGCAAAGCGGATAATCGACACTCGCTGGTGCGCAGACCTTTACAACTATAATAAAAAGAATCTCTGGAAAGTCTCAAAAATCAGTGATTAAATTCTTTAAACAGTCTCGAGCACTCATACGTCCAGCCAATGCTGATTTATGCTTCAAATCGGCGAGGACACCTATGTCGCGAAAACAACTATTAATCACAGAAGAGCACTCCAATAAAGACACCGCTTCGATGGCACAATTTTTCACTATATTATAAATGCGTCACCATACCAAACGTATTAAGCCCCGAGCACACTTCGACACAAGGGGATAACGAAACGCGCACGTCTTCCCGCTTCGGAACTAATTAATCAAATGATGTTTTTGTACCCTCTAAAACTGTAACGTTGCGCTCAATTCGATCTCGCAAGTCATTACATAACTGCAAGTCGCAACCCGGCCGAACAACAATTCAGAACTTATTGACGGTCAACACTGTAGATTAGCTAAGGAGATGCTGTTAGTCCCGCTTGATCACGATTGATTGAGCAGCTACTTCGCGTTTTGTGTGCAAACAACCTGAAGCTTCTCCTGGTCGTCGCGAGGGGGCGCGACTCGACGGGAGAGGAGGCCGCATGCGGTCAGCGCTTTAAGGAAAGAGGAGATTAAAAAAGGCGGCAAATTTAAACCTAGGCAGTAATAGAATAGCTTAGTGGGTAACTTTGCGGGTACGATGAAATGCTGAACAGCGATACCGGACGCAAAACACGAAATAATAGTCGACAAAAGTTACCTGTGCATTTTTTGCACACTTATTGATTATTGTTGAGGGCTGAAACTAGAATATGCTCAATAAATATAAGCTACTGAAGGGTGAATTTATTAAATAATGAACGAACCGTGTGAGAAAAATAGAATAAGTCAAGATCTAACCTACAAAAGAATGTCTTTCTAAAGATTTTTAATTAGATTATAGTGTAATATTTATGGGAACTTTTGAAACGAAAGCAAGCAACCCATTTTCGGATTTTGCATAGGGTCGCATCGGAATTTATGATCAATATAATAAACTATACAATATAAAAAAAATATATATACATACGACAATGTAAAATACTTTTAGCTCGGTAGTGAAATAATAAAGGCTCGATAGTTTTTACATTATCATGTTCCATTGAAATCTTTATATTTCTTAAAGTGACTTTGTGTTTGCAAAAAGCACACGTCTTACTTTGTTAATGGAACACGAAATTAGTGGACACGAAAATAGGTTCTAAAGAGTCGAACATCGGAGATTACTTTTGAAACTGAATTCTTTTCTTTTACGAACTCTGCCTTACCCTATAGGAGAAGGGTCTGATTTATTTTGTTCGGAAAGTAAGTGAACATCATTGTTCTGTATTTTAGCATCCTTTAAAATTTTCAACAGTTGACGTATTTGTAAAACATTTTACCATCTTTGTCCACGATATTTTACAAAATTAACCTAACATCTATTTCCATGAATTCCTATCTATTATATTGGTTATCAGAACTACCTTTGTTCGACTTGATCGCTTCGTTGCTCTTTTGTTCTCATGCAATTTCTTTGAACCCGACTTCAAAGCCATTATCACCGGCTAACTATTTGTATAAATCAGGCGTCTTAGTATACAATTGTCTATATACACTTAAAAAAAAAGCGTCTTGTGATGCGCTGCCGAGTCATAATCGTTCGATATTGGCTAAATACTGGTAATAGTATTAGCATATATGTGTGCTCAATTATTATAAAAAAACGATGCTCATCAATAAGGAATATTGGATTTTTTAAGGAGATTTTTTTTATTTTTCACATAATAGAGGCTTCTTTCAATCGAGGCCATTAAAATGCCTCTTTTAAGACATATACAGGCAAATTTTGATACGGTTTCACACCTAAATAAAAAATCATAAAGTTTACGAAAAAAAAAAAAAACATTTGAATAATGGACATATTTAAAGAAACCTGTCAAATCTGTTTATCAAATATAATATCTGCATCAACCTGTTGTACATACATAGGACATTAGTTAAATTCATTAGCCCGAGACCCTTCTGCGAAGATATTCCCGTGGTCGTACTATCACACTGACGTAAACCGAGTCGGTCACCACGGCAATCATCGCCTGACACTTTTAATACGATCAATGCTGTTATTACCATCCTGGTGATAATGAAGGCAGATTTCATACGGGCGAAGTTTCAGCGGAGTCCGTGCTGAAACTTCAACGGAGCTGTCAAATATGACACAATCCTTGCTGCATTCATTCAATGTATCCACAGTGTTCGGCACGCGCCCACAAATTTATGGATACACGCATCTTTAATCTACGATACATTATCAACGGAAGTGGTTAATAAATATGGCTTGCTGAAATGTTGACGCGCGTAACTAAATAAACGGGTTAGTGTCTTCATAAGAAGAACACGTATATTCATATCCAATACGAAAATGAGGTGCCGCATCAAATACGTTAAAAAAGTTAGGGAAAGTTAGACCTTTAACGTAATAGGTGACTAGTTGTGTGCAACAGACGACATGTAGAGGTTACAAAACATTGAAATGCTATCGTTTACGGAAAAGAATGATTTCTCTATGGGAAAAATGTCTAATATTATATTGGGACTGACTTACTTGTATAAAAAGTCGTTCCGGAGAGCTGCAAACTTAGACGGCGATCTGCTAGCTGCCGAGGGGCCCGGTCAAAAGGCTTTCCATGGTCTTCATAATGCAAAAAAATGCAAATACGTTGCACAGCTGTCGCTTGGCGGAACTCGAATCAATAATAGCCTAAAATTTGTATGTTTGCTATTTTTCTGCTTCTTAATTAAACTAGTACGCTATTTAACTTCAGTCCACTCTGAAACAAAACAAAAAACGCTCCAAAGATTCCAAAGTGTTGACGAGAGCTTGGGTTCATCACCTCAGCAACGAACTTCTATACTGTCAACTCAGTAGCCTAAACAAAATTCCAAGATAACTAAAATAAAATCATTTGATATTGATAATTCTATATGTAGGAAAAGTGCATACAAATTGTGAGAATCACAAATATCACAGGCTAATTTTACTTGTTATCTATAGTTAAAGGACTTGTTCCTGCTTTATCGAAACCGCAGAGGTTAATCGAAACCAGTGTTCTCCAGCCATGGTGCTGCAAGTCCAAAAAATAGGGCTGTAAACTAAGTCAGCTTTGCTAAATAAACATAATGATTATAAAATAAAAAATCAGTGTTAGAGAAGAATCTGCTGTTGTTGAATCCTGTAAGAGACGCTGCTGTCTCGTAAATACAAGTAATATGATTGTAGGACGTTAGATCATTGTATTCGGGCATTTAAAAAAAAACCTACTCCAACGGCATAATCAGAAAGGCGTTAAAATACTAAATTATTTCTCAAGCATCATTTTTTGTCAAGGTTAAGGGTTCACTTCGAGCGTTACGAATTTTGCTATTCCACATTTGAATATCCACACAGAGCTCACCCTTAGAGAAGCTGATTTCTCAAAATTAAGTTTTGTTAATGTTTAATTTATGGCTGCTCTATAACCTTTCTCTTTCTGTATATTATATTAACCCGCACTTGAAGTGTGTGGTATTACCATGGGGGTCATTCAGTAAAAAGTTTACGGTATAATTAGGCTTATTTCAGTTTCTTGGCGGAATTCGCAAAAAGCAGCCTCACATTGCGGAGTGTCAGCCCCGAAATGAGGCCTTCGGTTACAAGTTTTTTTCCACCGGTGGTTTCCTATCCGGGCTGTGCGTCTTCCTAGACTTGTCTAGCTTTTTTTTTGATACATCAGTGAAGAGGCATGGTATCAGTATATCATAGTAGTCAGCGATGGCCTCATACTCATGGATACTCGCATTATTAATCTAAACTATGCTGCTGCATAAGAAAATCAAGGTACAGAAACACGCGACCATGGTAACTGCGAACAACCGCCGTCTACCTCATGGTTTACGGCTTTTAGCAATAGGAACGACGAACTGGGCGAATACAGCACACAGAGACTGCGTTTCAATAAAACAACGAAATTATTGGTAAAATAATCTCAATAGTTCTCTGGCTTAATACGATATTACATTTTTGATTTCCAAATTTTCCGAGAAAATCCGAGATTTTTGCCCCAGCGTTTTAACGATGATCCGAGGAGCTCAAGAGTCGAAACGGAAATAGGAACACGACCTGTTATTTGTCTTTACTTTCTTCCTTATTAGGTGTTGGCGATTTTTTGCAGTAACAGACTGGCGTAAACGATGTCGAGCAAGTCAAATCAAAGAGATACCGGTTGGCTGTCAGGTCTACTTAGCATTTTGCCAGTGCGCTCTGTAGCCAGTACCTGTAAAAATTTTTTCTTTGGTGAGCATGGGCAAGCGAGGTTGAGGGAAAGCCCAGATAGACCGAGCTCGATTAGCTGCTCATCATCTTGTCTAACAGTAACAACTTCAACCGAACTGAGTTTACGTGGACGCCTGAATCGTCCCGAAAGCTCTGTTCACTTTCTGACAGAGACATCTTCCACAGAAGCCGCAACGGATATAATAGCGTTCGACAGTCGAAAGCATTCCATACTCAGGTAGGACTATGATATAGCAGCGCGTGAACAAACCGCTCATAAAAACAGGCCGTCGTACAATGTAACTATGTGGCCAATTTTAAACAAACGATTGAATATTGATGTTGTGCTACTTTATATAGAGCAGTTGGCTTCTCTGTTTTTTAGATGCGTTTTACTCAGCCCGTGCTAGAGAATGCCCGAATCGTTTTGCTGTCCATTGGTAGTTCCGAGTTCATCATATCTCTGGGTTTTCGATTTTAGAGAAAGGACGGGAGTAAGCAAGCACAAGAAAAACTTGGGTGCCTCTAACGGTACTTCAAGACGGAAACCTTTGGTGAAGTTTTGCGACTCGTCCAATGTGGAAACGAGTATCTCTGTATGCCAGAGCGACTGTAACCACTTCTTTGATTTGCCTTCTGTTAGCGAGCGACGAACGCTACAAAGAATCGCGCAGGACATGGTTAAAAGGAACAGAGGTACTCACAGGTATACGCCGCCTGAAAGAAGATTGTCGTCGACAGCGCGTAAAGAGGTTACATGGAACATCACTGTATTGGGTTCTTACTTGTCATATAAGCCAGTGGTCATTATTACCTGTTTGGCATGTTATCGGTAGCCTAGCGTATAGGTTACCATTCATGGCTACAACAAGAAAGCTGATTTTTATATCACGCCACGCTTGTCTTGTACTTCTCGTCTGTTACCTAAAACAAATAAATGGTTAAATTTTATAATAATAATAGTACTAATCAGGGAACTGAGTGTGGCTACCTAATATCGCACATAAATACTTGCTTGTAATAGAACATACTAGAGAAACTTACAGCTGTTGACAAACGGTAATAAATCTGTTGCTATATGCCGATGTCAGCGAAAGCTCTGCTGACTGATCGTTTGCTGGCGGAATACTAAAAGCCAAGAAAACTAAACGTTTGTGTGTGGCAAATGGAGCAAAGGAAACGGCTAGCCGCTACATGAGAGACCGAATGAATCCGTGGCTGATCCCCTCCTAGCCGGCTGATTGGGCAAGAAATATTAATATGCTTTTGCTTCTTGAAGTAATACGTAATTTCGGATACGTATGGTTAGAGTAATAGATGTCTGCGGGAACAAAAGAGCATTGTTTTGCAGTAACGTTATCATCATGTCTTATTGTATAGGCGAACCGAGAATGCCGAACGTGGCTGATGAAGCCACATTTGCGTGGCTCAGGTACCAAGTCCAGCCGAAATGTCGTGCCGAAGTTTCTGCCTCAGAAGGGCGCGCGAGGTAAGCCGTTGCCGCACAGAGACCCGACCATAAAATATGTCAGTGCCTTCTAAATACTGCTTAAAGCCCACTTCGCTAAGGTTCAATTGCAACAGTCGATACACACCGTCCTATAAACACGTTTGTCTTCGTGTAGGTAAAACGATATGTAAGTATGTTGATAACGGACTAACGGTTATTCAAGCTTTGGCGCCGGCGGGAGCTTGCAAATCGAAAAAAAGAAAAAACTTCGGGAACAAGATGGCGGGTTTTTTTTCATGGCTTCGAAGGGTGAGTTCAATTTCATTGTGAATTTTTCACACTTGGTTCTACTTAATGCGTCGCGCTGATGCAACGTCTGACGTTCAAATCGAAATAGATCTATTCAAATTAATTCCAGTTGTAAAAAAGTAGCTTTTCGAACACAAACTGTAGCAATCTTTCTATAGTCGTCGCAGCGGTTGTCAAACTTTAAGATAAATTAGTAGAATCTGATAAAAAAAAAATGTAGATTTTTTATAGGAAGGTTATTGTGATGTTTGTGAATTAGATTGTTGTCTAGTGAGTTAGCGTTTTCAAATTTCAGCGCCTGAGTCATGCGAAGAAGGTCAACGGGTGATTTCTGCAGGCTCTTTTTAACTTGCCAGAAATGTACGACTGGTTAAAATCAGCACTTTTGGAATTAAGATCACTTTTATTATGTAATAAAAACTGTTTTACTTTGTGAACCATGAGCTCGGCACACAGAATGCACTCGTAAAGGGGTATGTCTTTGCACTTACGAGAACGTTCTCTTATGCTTGAAAACGTTTACATTGTAACCTAAGGAGAGTAGGTGTACAGCATCGAAGTTTTGCGTAGTACCCGTATCGTCGATTTCAGGTTTTATCGTTGCTAGCCATCGAAGACAGGATTTGTTCTTTTTTTTTGAAAAAAGCGCTGCATTGTAAATAAATTGTAGCAGTTTGCTTATTATTCTCTAGTTTCTACGACCCCCTTCCATCTCTACATATATTCCGTCTTGCCAAAAGTGTTTAGGTCTGATGTATAGGAACTCATCGAACCAGCGCAAAATGTACTGTCATCTATTTAATTTGCCGACGACCGGATAAGGTGATAATCCGTCAATGCGCGGTCCGGAGAAGATGGTAAATGACTATTTCTAAAGTTCTTGCAAAGCTGCCTTAACGACCTTTACTATCTGTAATTTATCTAATATTGTTGTGGAGAAGGCTAACCAGATCTTTCCTGTTCGGTTGCTTAGTTTATTCGATGCATTCGGGTTACGTATAGAGCTGTGTAGCACACGGGATCCGTTTCTATAGATTTGACAGTGTAGGATAGCGTACGGAGTACTTATTTAAGGGTATTCCAAGTTAAAGGTAAACGATTTTTAGATCCAATTCAATCCCGATAAAAATGACGACAATTTGCCAGTGCACAGTACGGCAGAGGCAAAGGTTTTCGCTAGCTAGCTAGCTAGCTAGCGTAAAATTTCGTGCATCTCTGATGGCTTCAAGGTTGTGCATATATAACGAAACTAGATATAAGCGTATTTCATATCAACGATAATAGCGTCGCTTAGGCCTAAGGAGCTACGAAGGTTGTCAGATGATTGAATAGTCGCGAATAGGTTTGGACAACAGATGGAACGCACGTAATCTATATTTGCGCACGTACCAGTGAAATAATCAATTTCACTCCAACCAAATTTACGCTGGGGTTTTTACCCAAATGTTGGGCGGGTCAAACAAAGCTAATGCCCGCGAAGATCTTCAGATGCCACCGTGTTGTCGTTTGTGCCCTTTCCATTTGTCTTATTGCTATTGCACCGAGGGTGTCTGCTCAAAACCGAAAGCTCCGGTTAAACTGAGCCAGCCTGTATTTAAGACTAAAAAAGCGATACACCGCCCAGTAGTCTCGTACAGCTATTGCCTACCTCTCTTCAGAGGAATGGGTAACAGTTCGACGAATGTTTCCGCAATAATGAAAAGAAGAAAACGGTTGGCGCCCTAATTTTATCAGTACTTTGGTCTATGTAGCGATAGTATACGCTGATCAAGGGCCTACCTGATCGTGCCTTCCCTATGGTGTAATATTTTAGTATATAGTTGTTGGTATATATAGATATGGGTCAGCATCTGTCGTCTGTGTTGTTTATTGTCGTGCAGACGGGATGCACTTCTCCATTAGTAACAGGAACAGACTGTTATGTTTGGCGTATTTCTTGCGTGCGTAAATCTTAGCGCTTATTAATCGTGCTACCTTTCTATCAACACTAGAAAGAGATGCATATAGGCAAGAAAGGCATACCCCGCAAAATACAAACATGTGGTCTTGTGATGGACATCCTCTATGTGAGATTTATAGTTCCTAAGATCTAATGATAACTACTTAATCTAATTACTCTATTAGCTATCATTTACAGAGGCATATGTTGTGCTATAATAAAACTTAAGTTCACTTGAGGATCCACGTACGGACGTCTGTTTTACTTACAGGAGACGTTATTTATCCTGTCAAGGCCTCTTGTCCGTTTTAAACATAACACCACTTAGTGAGTAATCTGTTCGCTACACATTTGCATGTTAATTCAATTTCGTTATTATACCTAAATAAAGAGCACTGATTTCTCTAAAAAGGTCGTGAGTTATCCAAGGAAACTAGTAACTTTTTCCAATTCCATCGAGAGTTTCCTATTTTAATTTTGTTACCAGTAGTCTTCTTAGATATTTTGCTTTCCAATTTTCTTTTTTTCCAGTGTCTGTTTATGCCTTTTCAAATTAATGACATTATGGCACTGTGTGTTAGCCGGCTAAGCCACATTCACGCGCGAACAAAAAGGCCCAGAGAGAGTTAGGTTTAATTTGGATGAAAACTATATCGTGTAAATATATATTGTTCACTCCTCTCTAATGGTCATATTCTTTAACTTGAACAACAGTCAAAAACCAGCTACGAAACTAGATTTGAAAAACCACATGGAGCAAAAATATACTGGTGAGTATTTCGTGCTGAAGTAAATTGATTAAATGTTCGAGTAAACAACTAAGACTCGAAAGGTCAGTAGGAACGCATCAGGTCGTGCAGATCACGAACTCCCTAGCTCCTACATAAACTGAAATAATTTTAAATTTTTTTTAAGGTAAATTATAAACGAAACAAAAAACAAGTGATTAATAAAATAAACAGATAAGGCGAACTTATCTCTAGAGATAGGCGTGTCGTTTTTTGTAACGAAAACGGCTACGTCCTTTAAGATGTATGAATGAATTCATTTTTCATGATAAAGTATGTCCGCGAAGATGTCGCTTATAATTCCAATCGTTTTGTCTCTGAAATTATAAGTTCACAAACCATCGGCTCGAAGTTACTGGAGGGCGAAACGCTTGTCCTGAAAAGGGGTTTCTATGACCTAATGCAATACAGCGCCCCAATGTGCAATGAAGGTCTCTTTTAGCTAGGCTAAATATTAATCTTTTGCACTGTAACTATCGTTGCATAGAACGTTCTATTTCTAGTTGATTAAGTAGTATTTCGCACATTTTATTGTGAGACGAAAGCCATTATATAGCAGCTAGATCCCATCTAGAAGCTTATCGACCAGACCCAGCGGCGCCAAGGTTGACAAGTTCGGACACCTTATCTCCTGTGTTTTTCCGGACCAACTTATATCACATGACTTGTGATTTGATAAGACGTATGATATTGAAAAGTGCATTGGATAAAATCATTTCATTTCATACACAACAGCATACTCCCTGGTAAAATAGAGCAAGCTTTAACGGAGCCAATATGCAAAATAAACCGGTAGCATCATCTAAGAAAAAGTAGGCTATGGCTTAATTTGTGTCCAGAACTAACTTTTAACGTAATTTACTGTTGAACGTCTTGCGTTCGTTGGTATTTACTATTTCTATAAAATCACGACTGGCTAAAAGCGTTGGCTCCATTTATTCATATTTCTCAGGCCCCTAAGGACCGATCTTTCAGCTTGACCTTCTACGACGCGCTAAGGTGAAGCCATCGCAATCTTGTTAAAGCCACCTGGTGTCAACATTAGGCAACTATCTCCAGCGGTAGGTGTCGGGGAGGATGCACATGGGTATTTTTTAGCAATCGTTGTCACTAAAAATTACTTTCGAATGCCTTTCTGCCTTGAAAGTTAAATCTTGATAT